CTGTGCCACCAGGGGAGGCCCCCAAAACACTGATTTATACATCACTGAATTTAGTCACAGTCCTTCCATCATTGTTTTTTTAAAAATTTGTTGGTGATGTACCATAGCTCAACGTGCCACCCTTATCTGTGTCTTACCCATCAGTGCCATTGACCTAGAGCATTCCTATGTATGGGAAATGGGCTTTAAGTTGCTGTTGAAATTCTTCTTTCTTATTAGGTGGAATTTAGGTGGAATGTTTCCTAATTTCTGTGTATGCAGTGAATTTCCTGATACTGGTAATATGTGTGTCTCATGCAGCTGACCAACCCCACCATTAAATATTCTCTCCTATTCCAAGATAAAGCGTTATTTGATATACATGGTGCTGAAGGCCCTCACCTTGTATTTAACATTGGGAGTAGTCCACTGAACATGGGAGATAGCATATAATCAGAGGCTGATCTTGCTATGTCTCTTCTTTCTGTGAATAAAACCTACTCCAATCAGTACCATGTGTCCTTCTTTCTTGATGACTTTGGATCTTAGACTTTGTGGTGGACTTAGGATTATGGTGGGCATTATCTTCTCAGTTGTTTTCTATGCTTTGGGAATCCTCACTGAAATCTGTTCTCGACCAAAATAATATAGTAAGTATTAGAATATGGAGTAAAACTATTGGGTAGAACAATCCCTATTTGTTCACTGTTCTGTAACCACACTTAAAATAAGCAGAAATGCCAAAAAATGGGAACTTAAAATATTGATGGCTCCCTTTCAGTGCTGGGAGAGCATGATATTGAATGGATATTTTGAAGATGCTCTTGTTATTTTTTTTTTTCTCCCAGCATCTAGTTTCAGTATACTTTGAGAAAATCTTCTATGTTTTCCGCAAATGTTAAGAAAATATGATGAATGATCAATGAATAATTTCCACCTACACTTATATCATCCCCACCTAGAGAGAAAAAATGAGGGCCACAGGGATTGTTATTAAATAACCAGAAAAGTCTAGCTGCCTTTTAGACTTTTGCTTTAAAACTCACATTTTATGCTACCTCAAATTATTACAAAGAATAGAAAATGATTGAATTTCTTATGAACGCAAGAGTGCTTAGGAACACTTTTGGCCTCAGTTGGAATTAAAGCTGCTAGAAAGCCATTTATTTGAGAAGTACTTATTAAAAATTCTGCCATGATATTCAAGATGTTAATAAAACTATAAGCCATTAGAAACCACTGTTTTTTTTTTTTTTTTCGTTTTTTTTTGGTCATTGGCTCATCTAGATCACAAACATTATCTCATTGATAATATCTTTGGTTCAGGAAGAATGGTTCATATTAGTTTAAAAAAGACCTAGATGAAGTAAAAAATAATGTTCTAGAAGCATAATTTCATTAGTTTAGGTGTGATCATTAACTAATATAGGAATGAAAACCAATAATGACAACAAAGAGACACTATCATTCCCCATTTTTGATGAATATTCTAGGAAAAGCCAGAGCTAAAATGTCGTTTTGTTGTTGTTTGTTCATTTTTCATTTGTTTTTAGTTATAATATGTTTACCTTTTAAAAATTTGTCTTGGCTTTCTGTGTGTATCAATATACTACTAAAGTTGATTTTCAATACTATGTTTAAAAGGAAACAAATTACTATATTAAGGTATCAAAAAGGATATGTGTAAAGACAGGAAGAGGATTACTAATTATTATAAAGAGTAGAGGAGTTAAGCAGCCTCAAATTGACTCATTAAACCCAGCTTTATCTAGTATCACAATCAATGCCCTGGGAAAATATATGGTAACAGACTCTGGACAAGAAATAGTTGTCGGGCCTCCCCGGTGGCGCAGCAGTTGAGCGCTGGGTTGTGAAGCTGCCCGCAGCCTCTGCAGCGCCGGTTCGATCCCTGGCTGCTCCCCGGCCACCGGAGGAGGGTCCCACATGGTGCGCAGACCTCTCCTGCCGCCCGCTGCTCCCCTCAGCAGTGTACTTCAGTCCTTCTGCCTGCTCTGCTCCCCGCTCTGACTCTGGTGAATTCTCTCACCCTCCCGCGCTTCTGACTGTAACCAGTGCTTGTATAAATAAATAAAAATAAATCTTTAAAAAAAAAAAGTCTTAAAAAAAAGAAATAGTTGTAAGTTATTTTATTTTATCTATTTTTATAATTTTTCCTCCTAAGTCAAACACTTGTATAATTTTGTCCCTTTTCCTACAACCTCCCTTTTAAACTTAGAACCCTAAGGATGTTTGTTGATATCCAGTAGTTTTGAAGGTGTTTCATGAATGCATATTTGTTTTTATTTTTCTACCTTTGCTGTATATGTATGTATAATATATACACATTAAGACATGCATATATATTTAAAATATATTCTGATTTATTGAAAAAAGCTGCATTTCATCTTTTGTTGTGCCTATGCAATATTCCATAGTATGTATATACTATATATATTTTATCTTCTCATCCACTGAAGGAGATTTAGGCTCCTTCAATGTCCTTGCTATTGCAAATTATACTGCTATAAATGTTATAGACATCTTGGTGTTTTGTTGATTGCTTAATTTTCTGTCTATGCACAAGCATAACATTGCTGGATTGTACAGTATTTCTATTTTTAATTTTTAAAGTTAAATCCAAATTGCTTTCCATAATGTTTCACCAGTTCACAATACCACCAACAGTGTAATAAGGTTCCTTTGTCTCTGCATCCTTTGTAGCACTTGTTGGGGGTATTTCGGATATGTCCCATTCTCACAGGTGTAAAGTAACATCTCATTATTTTATTTTGCATCTCTATTATTAGGAGTTACAGTGCACATTGTCTTATATGTTTTTGGCCTTCTGGATATTCTTTAATGAATTGCCTATTCAATTCTTCTGAATATTAATTTATTAGGTTGTTTTTGTTGTTGAATTGAATCATTTCTGTTAATATATCTTGCACATTAATCTTTTATTAAATAATTAAATAAATATGATTTTCCCACTCATTTGGGTGTCTATTTAATGTCGAACATTCATGAGCTTTATAGAAGATTTTTAAATTGAGATAATACAAATACTTCATTTTTGTTTTCAATTCTATTGCCATAGGAGTTTACTCATCAAAAATTTCTTTATTGATGAAATCATGGAAAATATTGCCATGTTTACTTTTATGTATTTTATTGTTGTAGGTTTCATACCTAATTAAAAATAAAAAGATTTATTTATTAATATAAGCACTGGGTACAGTCAGAAGCTCAGGAGGGTAAGAGGATTCACCAGAGCCAGAGCAGGGAACAGAACAGGCAGACTGACTGAAATACACTGCTGAGGAGAGCAGCGGGCAGGCAGGAGAGGTCTGCTGCACCATGTGGTTAGCTCTGTGGCCTCCTGGGGACCAAACTCGTGCTGCAGTGGCTGGGGATATCTTGATAGCCCTGTCTTTAACCCCTGCATCACCAAGGAGGCCCATTTTTGTGTATAATGTTAACAAGCAATCCAACTTCATTATTTTATGTATGGCTTTCCAATTTTCTCAGCAGTATTTATTAAGACACTGGCTTTTGTCCATTTTATGGTCACAGATTTTTTAAAATCATAGATTAGGTACTGGAATATTCATGGTTTCATTTCTGGACATTTGATTCTGTTCCATTGGTCCACATATCTATTTTTGTTATAATACCATGTTGTTTTAATACTGTTGCTTCATAATTAAATTTGAAATCAAGTACTGTGATACCTCCATTGCCCTACTTTTTTTCTCAAGATTGCTTTTGCAATTCAAGGCCTTTTGTAGTTCACATAGATATTTTTTGTTCAATTTTGTTGAAAATATTGCTGGGATTTTGATGCAGATTTCATTAAATTTATTGATGATTTTAGGCAAGATAGTCATTTTGATTATATTGATTCTCCCTGGACATGAACATGGCATATACTTCCATCTGATCATGTTGTTATCTAAGTCCTTTAATAACTTCTTGAGTTGTCATTATATAGGTCTTCTATTTTCTTTGTTAGAGTGGGTAATTTTTTGAAGCAATTAAAATGGAGTCATTTTCTTAATTTCTTTTGCTTTTCATTCATTTTATATAAAAAAGCAATTGGTTTTTGTGTGTTTATTTCATAGCCTGTCACTTTGCTGTATTCATTTATTGCTGCAAATAACTTTTTATTGGGACTTTATGATCTTCTATATCTAATATCATAATGGCTGCCAATAATGACAATTTCACTTCTTATTTTCCTGTTTACATTATCTTTCTTTCCTGTACTAATGTGATAGCTACTGATGAAATCTCTTATACTAGGTTAAATACAAGTGGCACTGAGCATCCTTGTTTTGTCCCTGATCTTACAGTGGATACTTTCAGTTTCCCACCTAAGTATTATATTGACTGTAGGTTTTTGATATATGGCCTTTGTTATAATGAAATGGGTTCCTCCTATCACCATCTTATTTAGAATTTTAGTCATAAATGGGTATTGAATCTTATAAATCTTTACCTGCATCTACTGCTTTTATGTGATTTTTATCTTTATTTTGATTGACATGGTTTTTTACACTAATTGATTTATATATATTAAACTATCCCTTCATCATTGAGATAAATCTCTATTGTCCTGTATAATCCTTTGATATTGATCAGAAAATATTATTGAGCAAATGAAAATAATAAAGATTCCAGCTCAACTTCCAGCCCAGGTGCAATGAACACTCCAATGTAGGCATAATTAACAAGTTTGCTTACTTACAGCTCTTTTTCTTTAAAGATTCATGGTCAGGGCCTCAGCACTCCTATCTAAATAAAGTTGCATTTCAGAAGGATCCAGCAGCCAGTCAAAGCTGCTCTGTCTCTCCAAGGACATTCTAGTTGTCTGCCTCTTTCTCCCTTTGCCAGTCCTCCCTGCCCAGCCCCCTTCCCCCTTCGCTGTCTGGGACTTTGCAGCAAATGGTTATGCCTGCTGAAAAACAATGGTATCAATGTAGCAAATATGAAGGCATTTATGTATAAAAGGAACCCTTTGACTTTAAACCGGTGCTCATACCTTATAGTGCTCCCGGGGTCTGGGAAATCATGTGTGAGTAACAAAGCTTTCTTGATCTCGCTATTCCTTCACTGCTTGTTCTTCCTCTGTCTGGGTAAAAGGCCAGAATTTCTACAAAAATGTATTGTTGAATTCAATTAGCTAGTATTTGGTTAAATGTATTTGCATCAATGTTCATTAATGATATTGGCTATACTCTTTTTCTGTGTTGTCTTTACTTGGTTTCAGTATTTTAGTAATGATGCCATCATAAAATGCATTAGAGAAGATTCTCCTTGTATTTTTAAAACATAATTTGAGCAAAGTAGGCTTTAGTTTTTCTTTCAAAGCTTAAAAGAACTCATTTGTAAAGCCATCTGGTGGGGTCTGTGCTTCTGTTTTGCAGGAGATATTTTGTTACTGTTTCAATTTCAACGTTTATGATCAGTTTGTGCAGTTCACAGTTTCTTCCTGTGCTAGTCATTATTTTTTTTTTTTTACAATTTCTTTTACCTCTATTTTAGCACTTGTTTTGATTATTTTTCTGATTTTAGTTCATATTTCTTTTTCAATGATGTTAGGTTGGACATTTTTGGTTTTTCTATATGGGCCTGCACTGCATTGATCTTTCTTTTTTTTTAGAATTATTTATTTATGCATACAAGAGCTGGGGAACAGGCCAGAGATGCAGGGGGTGAGAGGATTCACCAAAGACAAAGTGGGGAACAGAACAGGCAGATTGACCGAAGTACACTGCTGAGGGGAGCAGCGGGCAAGTGAGGAGAGGTCTGCTGTACCATGTGGGTTGCTCCCTGGCTGGCTGAGGATTGAAATAGTGCTTCAGAGGCTGTGGATTGCTTCATAGTGTGGTGCTTAACCCTTTGCACCACGAAGGAGGCCCCTGCATTTATCTTTCCCTTTCTACTTTTACTGTATCCCTTATATTCCTGCAACTTATAGCATCGTTTTCATTCATTTCAACATATTATTAATGTATGCTTTGATTTCCTCTTGCACACATTTTATTAAGCAGAATATTGTTTTATCTCCATGCATTCATAGTTTTTCCTGTTTTTTCTTTTTAAAGTACATGTCTACTTTTATTGACAATTAGTTTGTGTCACAAACTTTTTTTTAATATTTATTTATTTGTGCATGTAAGAGCTGGGATGTATGCCAGAGGTGCAGGGGGTGAGAGAATTCACCAGAGACAGAACAGACAGATTTACTGAAATGCACTGCTGAGGGGAGCAATAGGCGAGACAGGAGAGGTCTGCTGCGCCATATGGGTTTGCTCCAAGGCCTGGGATCAAACCCATGCTTCAGTGGCTGCCAATAACTTTATAATGCTGAGACTTAATCCCTTGCACCACCGGGCAGGCCCCAATATGTTCTATTCTTGAACATGTATCATCTACACTTGCAAAAAAAATGGTTCTGAAGCAGTTTTATGGTGAAGTATTCCACGGATGTTTGCTAGACCTTTGGTCTAGCCCATCATTTAAATCTGTTGTTTCCTTATATGCACTTTGTCTTGTTATTCTGTCCATTTCTTTAAAATTATTGTGCTTTTACTAATACCTCTCTTAAATTATGTGCATTGTTGTTTTTGTTTTTTTTTTACTAATATCTCTCTTAAATTGTTATTGTCTTATGTAGTGATGGAGAATGTTAGTTGTTGAGCAGGTAGTCAGATAAACAAGGAATGCTCTTTATTTTTATTTTTTTTTATTTTTTACTTCATTGTTCAATTTTAAAAATATTTTTCTATAATTCTAATATCATTTTTTTCATTTGTGTATAATGTATGCATTTTCATTTTGGTTATATTCCCCACACAATTGCACCCCCACTTATTTTGACCCTAATCCATCCTCTCCGTGCCCCCCGCCCCCAAGTGTGTCTCTGGTTTATAGTTGCTTGTTGATTTTGATTTTTACTTTATTATAGTATTATTGTAATATTATAATATTACAATATTATATATTATTATAATTATAATATTACATATAAAATATTATGTATTACATATATTACATATAAAATATTACATATAAAATTACAATATTATATATTATTATAATTATAATATTACAATATTATATATTATTATAATTAGTTTTTCCTGGTCCCTTTTTTAGGTTTTCTAAATTCCTGCTATGAGTGAGACCATCTGGTATTTTTCTTTTTCTTTCTGGCTTACTTCACTGAGTATGATCCCATCCAGCTCCATCCATGATGCTGCAAATTGCATGAGTTTATCTTTTTTGATTGCTGAGTAATATTCCAGTGTGTATATATACCACATCTTCCTGATCCAGTAATCTATTTTTGGGCATTTGGGTTGTTTCCATATCTTAGCTATTATAAATAGTGCTGCTATAAACATAAGGGTGCATGTGCCTTTGGAATTAATGTTTCTGTGTCCTTTGGGTAAATACCTAGGAGTGGAATTGCTGGATCATATGGAAGCTCTATCTTTAGTAGGTTGAGGAATCTCCACACAGCTCTCCATAGTGGTTGAACCAGTTTGCACTCCCTCCAGCAGTGCAAGAGAATTCCTTTTTCTCCACAACCTCACCATCATTTGTTGCTGCTAGCTTTTTTTTTTTTTTTTTTAATATGTGCCATTCTCAGTGGTGTGAGATGGTATCTCATTGTAGTTTTGATTTGCATTTCCCTGATTACAAGCAATGTTGAACATTTTTTCGTATGCTGCTGGCCATTTGCATTTCCTCTTTGGAGAAATTTCTTTTTAGCTCTTCTGCCCATTTTTTGACTGGATTATTTTCTTTGTTTTTGTTGAGTCTCATTAGCTCTCTGTAGATTTTTTGTGATCAATCCTTTATCATTAGTGTTGTGTGCAAAAATTTTCTCCCAGTCGGTGGGGTTTCTCTTTGTTTTGGTTATTGTCTCTTTTGCTGTGCAGAAGCTCTTTAATTTGATGTAGTCCCAGCTGCTGACCTTTGCCTTCACTATCACTGCTTTGGGTGATGTGTCTGTAAAGATATCTTTGAGGTGTATGTCATGTGGTGGTTCGGCTATATTTCTTTCTATATATTTTATGGTTTCAGGTCTTATGTCTAGTTCTTTAATCCATTTTGAGTTGGTGTTTGTGCATGGTGTGAGGTAGTAGTCAAGCTTCATTCTTTTGCATGTAGGGACCCAGTTTTCCCAGCACAATTTATTGAACAAACTTTCTTTGCTCCAGTGCATATTCTTTGCTCCTTTGTCAAAGATTAGTTTACCAGAAATCTGTGGGTTTATTTATGGATTTTCTATTTGGTTCCATTGGTCCCTGTGTCTGTTCTTGTTCCAATACCATGAAGTGTGGATTATTATGGCTTTGTAGTATAGTATGAATTCTGGGAGTGTGATGACGCCATTCACTTATTTTTTTTTTTTCAGGAGGGTTTTGGCTATTCCAGGTATTTGGTGGCTCTATATGAATTTCATCAATATTGTTCTATTTCTTTCAAGAATGTCATTGAAATTTTACTGGAATAGCATTGAATCTGTAAATTGCTTTTGGTAGCATGTCCATTTTGATAATGTTAATTCTATCAATCCATGAACAGGGGATGTCTTTCCATTTCCTTGCGTCTTCTTCTATTTCTTTTAGCAGTGTTTTATAGTTTTCTTTGTATAGGTCCTTTACCTCTTTTGTTAGGTTTATTCCTAAGTATTTTATTTTTGTTTCAATAATAAAAGGGATTATCTTCTTGATTTCTTCTTCTTCAGATTCATTTGTTTGTGTATAGGAAGGCTACTGATTTTTGTGTGTTGATTTTGTATCCCGCCACTTTACTAAACTGATTGATCAGTTGAAGTAGTGTTTCTATGGAGTTTTTTGGGTTCTCTATGTATATTAACATATCATCTGAGAATAGTCATTGTTTGACTTCTTCCTTGTCTATTTAGATTCCTTGTATGTTTTTCTCTTGTCTTGTTGCTCTGGCTAGGACTTTCAGTATTATATTGAAAAGCAGTGGTAAGAGTGGACATCCTTGTCTTGTTCCAGATTTTGTTTTTAAAGATTTATTTGTTTGTTTGTTTGTTTGTTTGTTTGTTTATATAAGCTCTGGGTACAGTCAGAAGCAAGGGATGGTGAGAGAACTCACCAGGGCCAGATTGGGGAGCAGAACAGGCATACTGACAAAGTACACTGCTGAGGGGAGCAGTGGGCCGCAGGAGAGATCTGTGGCCATGTGAGACCCTTACTGGTGGCCAGGGATTGAACCGTTACTGCAGTGGCTGCAGGCAGCTTCGCAGCCCAGTGTTCAACCACTGCACCACCAGGGAGGCCCGTCTTGTTCCAGATTTTAGTGGAAATGCTTTCCGCTTTTCACCATTGAGAATGATATTGGCTGTGGGCTTGTCATATATGACCTTTATGATGTTGAGGTATGTTCCTTGTATCCCAAGAATTTCAAGGGCCTTTATCATAAATGGGTGTTGTACTTTGTCAAAAGCTTTCTTAGCATCTATTGATATTATCATATGGCTTTTATGTTTCTCTTTGTTGATATGTTGGATTGCAGTGATTGATTTTCAGGTGTTGAACATCCCTGTGTCCATGGAATAAATCCTTCTTGGTCGTGGTGAATTATCGTATGACTACATTGTTGGATTCTGATAGCTAAAATTTGGTTGAAGATTTTTGCATCTGTGTTTATTAGAGAGATTGGCCTATAGCTTTCTTTTTTGTGTGCTGTCCTTGTTTGGTTTTGTTATTAGTGTAATGTTGGCTTCATAGAATGTGTTTGGTATTATCCCTTCCTTTTCAATTTTTTGAAAGAATTTGTGAAGGGTAGGCACTAATCAGTTTCTGAATGTTTGGTAGAATTCATTTGTAAATCCATCTGGTCCTGGACTTTTGTTTTTGGGAAGGGTTTTGATTACCATTTCAATTCCACTGATTGTAATTGGCCTGTTTAGGTGTTCTATGTCTTCTTTATCTAGCTTTGGATGATTGTAAAGTTGTAGGAATTTGTCAGCTCTTCCAGATTATTGAGCTTGTTTTCATATAACTGTTCATAGTAGTTTCTTATTAT